ACCACTCTACCCAGGGGGACAGCTTGAGGCTCTGTCTCAAAAAAAAAAAAAAAAATTTTTTTTATGGAAATAGGGTCTCATTATGTTTCCCAGGCTGGTCTTGAACTCCTGGCCTCAAGCGATCCTCCTGCCTCAGCCTCCCAATGTGCCTGGCTATGGCTGTTCTTTGATAAGTCAGTTTCTTAAAGGTCAACTGCAATGTGGAATCTGAAATCATATCAATTAACTATCTACTTTATTATATTATAACCCACTGTTCTATCCAGCCCTTTCAATGTACCTTTTAGCCAGGCACAACATTATGTGGATTGGTCACTTAGAGAATATTAAGTTATATACAGCTTCAAAATGTCTACATATTTCACATTTCAGATCAAAATATTAAGTCTGCTAATACCACCACCTATTTCATCAGGAGAGTCTGTAACGGGAAGTTCACAATAGTGAATATAAATCTTCCAAAGTTTTAATTTTTGCTTAAAAGCTCAAATTGTATCACTGGCAATGAACTCACTTGGTTCATTCTCATGAAAACATCTTCCAAATACCCAAAATGACAGACCATAGTTTGTCAGTTATTTTTTCAAGTAAAAGTGGTCCCTGAAGACGCTGTTGGTTCAGCTGGCAACTCACTCACACGGGCCCTTTCCCAAAAGATGAGCAGCACACTCTGGCATGTGGCCAAATTAACTGATGCCAACCTCTACCTTACATCACAGGGTGTTAAAAAGATGGGTATGCAAAGATTGAGACTTAATAAATCAGTAACTTTTCCTGCTCCATCAGATAATGGTATTTATTTGCTTATTTATTTAAAACAAAATAAATGCCATGAAGAATACTGTGACAGTCTGTTGCTATAGCCTTGACTATGCCAAAGAACCAGTACTTTTACCTGTTGCTGCTTTTGTACCAACAATATACATGTCAACACATGAAAAAAGCCAAAGCCATGTTAAGATTATGAATTTAGGCATAACAGTTCTCCTGAAAGGTCCCAGGACCCCTGGAGGTCTACCACCCACACTCAGATTGGTATTCTGTGCATACACAGCCAGTCACATATACCCCTTTACTCCTTATGCCAGATATCACCAGAGGCCCGTCCCCACCCTGTTCTGTCTTCATCACTGACAACTTCTGTCGTAAGAGCATACACATATATACCAACCCCGATGTAGGTACAAGCATATGGAGGCGGCTCGCCCAGGACAGACAGCCCGCTACTATGTGGGAGTACACTGAAGGGAAAAGGCAGAGATTGACTTGCCAAATGATCAGAAGAGATTTTTTTTTTTAATACGCAAAGAAAGAAGAGCTCCTTCTAGTCAGTCTTTGACCATTAAATGAATGCTGTCAAGGAGCCCAGTGAAGTTCACTCATCACATCCCATACCTGTCCAGAAGACAGGACAAAACTTAGTTCAATTTTTCCAATGACTCAATTCATCACCAAATCACTTTGTAGAAAAAAGCAAAACTGCTTTTGAGTTTCCAAATTCCAGTGTTTTACAAAGAACAGAGAAAACAAATTATTGTAGCATGTGCTATACCCTGCTGCCTGATGTAGCACCTGGCAAGAGCCCAGTACCACGACAGGAGAACAGCCACATAGACGTGACCCTGGGCTATGTTCACTTGCCACCAAACTATGGCAAGAAATCCATGGTGGCAACACAGATACCCCTCTCTAGACACACGAGGACTTCAGCCCAGAGGACAGCAGCAGCATGGGGACTCTGAAGTCCCTGGAGCCCTTCAGCCATCCCTACCACAGGGGCAAGGCCTAGCACTCACCTCCTCAGCCACTGAGTCCCTGTAGTACCTCAGGCTTTGATCGGCCAGGACAAACCAGTGTTTCTTCCACTAAAAGGTAAGAAAAAGACTCAATTCCCAAGCTCCAGGCAGTGTGCAGACTGTTCCTGGGCATACACAGCACAGGCCTGGGCACCTCCCAGAGCACAAGGACAACTCTGGGCAGGTGGAGTACAGAGGCCACTCCAGCCATGTGCAGCTGGGCATATCATGATCACAGGGAGCCCGCTGAACTGCAGCTTCTCTGGTGCACAGGCAGCAAAGACAGTGGGGGTGTCAGCTGCGAGCTCTCTGTGACTAGTGGTGTGGCTAGTGACCAGTGATGTACAGTCTCCTCAATCTCAACTGCAGACTACAGGGTGGGTCCATCAGAAAGGAAAGGTGGCTATGAACATGGCATCTCCACCTGCAGCTGGCAGCTTGTGAGCCACAGCCCTTGGTGGGCTAACCACAGGGGAAAAACTAACCAGCTAGAACCCCAAATGTTCATTGCGAGTAGCAAGGAGGGTAACTTGAGTGTTCAGACAAGGCCAAGGACATGTGATATAAAGGAGGGAGAAACAAAAGAGGCTCTTTTGGCACAGTGGCTCAGGAAGCAGGTGGGGAGTGAGGACGGGCCAAGAACAGGACCTTTGGGGCTAAGGACCCAGCAGGCCCCTCTTCAGGCTGGAAAGACTGGCCCTTCCACCATAAGAGAGCTCAAGGTGAGGCTGGCTGGTCCAGCTGCAGATGGCTCTTCCTGCCTGAGACTGATGGTAAAAACATATCACATGTGCTCCTCCCCAGGCTAAGGAGGCTGCCATGGCCCCTACAGAGCTAACGTACCATCTACTTGGCTGCCTTGCATGGAAACACAAGCCAGCTCCACAACCAGCTTTCTACATCCCTGGGGAAGCCTGAACCCTTTAGAGCTTTTAGGAAAAACCACCAGGTGGCGGGGTTAGTGTTGCAGGGGCTCCCCTGAAGCCAGAGGTAGAGATCTCCTGTGAGTAACAGGTAGGAAGCACCTCTGATCACTGCCCCCTGTGTGTCTGCACTGCTTTGCACAGGCGGGGATGTCAGCCACGGTCCTGGTAAACAGACAAGGGGTGTGCCAAAGGCCGGGGTAGAGCCAGCACTTAGACCCTAGTAGGGACAAGATTAGCCTCATTTGGCACCTACTCCCCAGCCCCCAGGGGTGAATCAAGAGTAACTGCACACTTACCTGACCATCCTCATATTGCTTAGTCAGCCAGCCTTTCTTGAAATTCAGCAGGTCAGGCTGAGAAAGGGGAAAAAAAGAATAGTTCAGAGGAAAGCATCGTGGTGTGCCCACCATGGGCAATGGGCATCTGATAGGAACAGCATCTCCAGACATCAGCAAAGGGTTTCTCCACCTGCCAGGCAAGCCTGTGCAGGCCCCCTCCCCAGAAGGTGCTGCCCATAGCCCAGTGGTGGGCTGGGGAAAGAAGGCACAGTCTTATCGCCTGAGATGAGTGGGAGCTGCTGGCCACCCTCAGGGGTCCCTACTCTGGCCTGCTTGGGGCCTGCTATGCAGGGACTGTCTTGGGACTGAGATCAAGCCTAGGGAGAGAGCTGTGCATCAATTCACATGAAGTGGAACGGCTGCAGGAACAGCTGAAGGGAGAGTCAGAAGGCCCTGAAGAGGACTGAGGAGCAGAGATGTGACTGGCGCTGAGGGAGCAGCAGTGCCAGCCCTGCTAAAGTCCCTCTGGGCAGTGCTCTATCAGGAGGAGGCTTATCTGTGTGTCTCCACAAGAACCAGAACAGCAGACAAGGTCATGGACCCAGGCTGGGGCACTGTCTCTCCAGATCCCTCCATACCCGGGCCCAAGGAGCAGTCTCAGAGACCATGTCAGGCCTGTCTGGCCAAGGTGCACAAGCACCACAAGGTGCTGCAAGCCAGGCCCCACAGAGACACAGGTCCCTCTCCTCTGGCCCCGGGCGCCACAGAGACGCAGGTCCTTCTCCTCTGGCCCCGGGCCCCACAGAGACACAGGTCCCTCTCCTCTCACCCCAGGCCTGACAGAGACGCAGGTCACCTCTCCTGTGGCCCCAGGAGTTCTCTACTTTTCTACAGCCACCCTGATCAGGAATTGGCTTTGTCTTCACATATTCCAAAGACCAAGAGGGAGTCAGAACAGGAAAGAAGCAGCAGGGCAGCTCCCCAAGCTTTTACCACACTAGTGCAGGCTGCTCTGGGAGCCTCTGCAGTGGGCTGCCTGTCTTAGGAGGGCCATGACTGGGCCCAGACCTAGACTGAGCATCAGCCCCTCTCTTGAGCCCTGTTTCAACCCCAGTTTCTTGTTGGCCTCCCTGGCCACAGCAGCTTGTGATGTTAGGACACCCCAGCCCAAATGACTGGGAAGGAGGACTGCACCTGCCCTCTCCGGCCACCCTCTCCCAACTTCAACATGTGCAGTGGCACTGACTGCTGCAAAGATGGCAAGACATGGGCCCCTGATGCTCTGCTGTCAGGGCCTGGGCCTGTGGCGGATGCTGGGGATAGCAGCTACCAGCTGAGTTAATAAACTTAGAGGAATTTCATTCAAAAAGTCTGATGTAAAAGCCCAGACTGAAGGCGAAACCAATGCTCTTGCTAACGTGCCACAATTATGTATCAATCTATGGCTGGCAGGCCCACGCTCTGGGGAGGTGAGAGGCCTGCTCTGCGCTGATCTGACAAAGATAGTGAAGGGCCACTCCCCTGACGAGGCTAGAGACAGCAGATGAGGTCAGAGAACCAAGCAGCCACCTTGCTTCCCAAGCTCTGACTGCACCCTGCTGCACCTCCCCTGCCACAGATCTGGGACCAGTGACAGGACTCGAGGCAAGGTCTGCTTTTTCACTGTGGCATGAGCCATAGAACAAGTTGAGCTCTGGCAAGATGCAGCTCCTACCTCCAAAGTGACCCCAAATGCACACCCCAACCAGAAGGATAGAGGACTGCTGCAGCCCCACTTCTCAGAGTCCAGATCCTCTGGGACCAGACTCCACAGGGACCTCCTCCTAGAGTGCAGGATGCCACATAGCCCCCAGTTTGGGCCCCAAATAAAGGGAAGAACCATAGAATGTTTTCAATGGCCTATGGGTCAGAGTGCTCACAAACACAAGGGATAGCTGGTGTGGATGCATAAACAGAAACAGACAGAAGCCCAGAGTGGGCAGAAGCAGAGAGCACAGTCTCCAGAGGACTCAGCACACAGCGTCCAGGCTCACCGTCATGGAGGGCTCCGTGGACCTCCTGTCCAGTGACTTGGCTCTGCGGTGTGGAGACAGGGGGGAAGCCGAGGCGTCTGAGAGAGGAGCTGTGGGGGCTTCACTGGTGAAGTCCTGTGGCAGAGAGCAGCTGCCATCAGCACAGCCCCGCACACTCAGGCAGGTGGGGGCAGTGAGCTGGGGTCATCCACCCCTCCAAGGGCTGCAGGGGGGGCCTTGCTCCCAGCAAGGGGTTGAGACCTGCCTAAGCCCTCAGTGCAGGCGTCTGGCAGGGCCAAGGCAGGACCTGTGTCTCAGGACACCCTAGTCATCAGAGCAGCTTTTCTTCTAGATGCCTGGCCAATGTCTCTTTCCTGGCCCCACCCCATCCTCCAAGCTTCTGGGGTTGCAGAAGGAAGAGCACTGGCTTAGTGGCAGCAAGCAGGCCTCAGATTGCACAGTGGGTTTGGGCACCTCATGAGCGAGAGAGTAGCCAAGAGTAAGATGCACTCCGACAAGGCAGGCTACAGAAGAGACGGACAGGTGAGTACCCAGGAGGGGCAGGATTTCAGAAGCTGAATCCACCTTATGAGCTAAGTGGAGAGGTGAGGGGCACAGTTGTGCTTGACAGAAAGAGGAAGAAAGGTAAGATAATCAGCTTTGCTATAGGGGTGCCTCAGAGGGGAAGACAGTGCTTCCAGTTACAACTGGGGATCTAAAGTGCATTAGAACATCCTTTAGCTGAGACAGATGAGGTTCTGACATGACGATGCAGAAGGCAGGCCCACCCCAAGAAGGTCACTAGGTGCTGAGGTCAGAGAGTGCAGCAGGACCACACCTCAGACCTGCGTACAGGGGACTTGAAGGCACATGGGGTCATGTGCTGACCGGACCTGAACCCCCCTGCCCCTGGAGCTCACCCGCTTCCTAGGGAAAACCCTCTTCTCGCTGCGGCCTTGGCGGGTGTCACTGGTGGGTGAGGGCCCTGCTGACATGTTGGTCTCCATGTGCTCTGCCTTCTCAATGTCCAAGGCCTCAAATTTTTCAATTACCTGGGACCTCCTGAAAGAGAAGATACAAGGTTGCTAACATGGGGATGAAGTCTCTCCACATTCCCAAATCAAGGAAGGGCTCCTACAGTCGACACCCTCACACCTCACCCACCACGCCAGTCCCCCACGCAGGCCTCCCTCAGCCTTGCCCAGGATGCAGAGCAGCACCACACTGAGGAGGCTTCTGGGCACACACCACTCCACAGCCTTCACACCCGCCAGGCCTGTGCTTGCCCTCTGCCCTTCATCCCTCACTGGAGGCCCTGCAAGCTCTGTCATGTTGACCATTGGACATTCACAAAGCTCAGCACCTGGCAACTTCTGAACCACAGGTATGATCGAAAGGCTACCACCACCACTTTGGAGGGATCAGCCTCCGTCCTCATCTCACTGCTCAATTATCACAACACAGCCCCCACCCAGGGTGCCCCAAATTTAGCAAGAAAAAAGCCCTTGAATTAACATTGTTTCTGCCGACAGTAAAAGACCAAATTAAAACAAAAACAAAGCAAGTTGATTTCATGTGAGAGGGCTGGCGGCCTCGTCAGGCTCCGACGGAGCTGAGATGGGGTGAAGCGGGTGGAGGAGGTGCGACGCCACACGGCAGCACAGCAGGAGAGGCGAAGAGGCAAGACCTGAAAGAAAACAAGGCTGGGGAATGAACAAACAGAAAAGCACTGCTTTCAAAATCAAATAATGGTAAACCAAAATTATCCAAAGGATTAAAACAGCAAGACCCAAGGTGAACACTGCAGAGGGAGAAAGATCATGATTGTCCCAGAGCAGCAAGGAGTCACCCTGTGGGGTCAGAACAAGAGGTAGGGCAAGGGCCTCGTGGCTGTGACATCCCCACACCAGAAGGCCAGCCCCTCCCTCACAGCTGAGGCCTGTTTTCATGTGGACACTGAGTTCTCCTTGTGGGGACAGTTCCACCTGGGATCTGGACAAGTGGCCAAAAGCTGAGGGGAAGTGGGTAAAGGTGCCCAATCCCTGAAGACTAGAATGTAACTCCACAAGAAGGAAGAGCAGAAATGAGCTCAAATCCTGAGACATCTACCCCTCCTCCAAAAGGCAAGTTTCTTGTCAGGGAGGTTAGCATAAAAACTGCTCTGCTAATGTCTTTTCATCACAGGAGGTAAATGGCAGCACCCGAAGACCCCCAGGCACTCTGCTGCCTCCATGTCAGGTGTGTCTCAAGAGAGTCTATGCCAGGCCAGCCTGCTGGAACTAGCAGTAGAGGTGAGTGGCTGCGGAGTACAGGGCAGAATGGAAGCTAAGGCAGCTGCCAGGGACCTTCAGAGACGTGCAGCCAGGTGTCTACCACATCCAACCACTGAGGTGTGTAGTGGGCAAGATTCTAGACCCTGGGGCTTTGGTGCCACCACTTAAGCATGAGGGCTTCTCCACTTAACTCTGAGGCCTAGAAAGCCCCAGGAAAGCAATTAGTGACTGTGCTGGCCCTGAAGCCCATGTGAATGGCATGCGGGGAGACCTCAGGGACCTAGGCACAAGAGGAAGGTACTCACTGAGGCTGCTCCACAGGGCCCTGGGGAGGCCCTGCAAGCCATAGGCTTGGGCAGCATCTACCTTGACTCACAAGGCAGAGTGGGAGTCACTAACTTGGTACCCTGAACATGGCACAAAAAGCAGATGCCTACACCGTGCAGGTCCCCGGCCTCCCAGGGTACTCATGCCTGCACTGAGCATGGGGCCAGGGTTGCAGGGGGCTGAACTTGCTGTCAGCCACCAATGGTCCAACCAGGCCATGGCCCCCACATTCGGCAGCCAGAGTGACCTGCCACCTAAGAAATACCTCAAAGCTCTGGAAGTCTGAAAACCAGACCCGCTGAAGCCAGAGATGATGGGGCTCTGACAGGATGGCCTGGGTAGACACAGCCTGGAAACTAGCCCCTTGGCTCGGCAGGCACCTGTGCCTCAAGCAACTAAGGTGCCAACAGCAAACACACCTGAGCTGGTTGGTCTGAATCCAGCCCCAGCATGCCAAACAACGATGGCCAAAAAATGTGACCAAAAAATAGCCAGGTGTTGTGGCAGGTGCCTATAGTCCCAGCTACTTGTGAGGTGGAGGCAGGAGAATC